ACGTTTAACTCACCTTGCAGCAGGGAGACGGTGAGGAGGACAGTCAGAGCTGTTGCCATCTTTGTGTCTCAGAAGAGGAAGAAACTCTGGAAATATATGCAACAACATTTAGAGCATTTCATCCCTTATTAACTCAGATTTTTAGTTTAAGTTTCTTTAAAGGCCATCATTTGAACAAAATGAATCTGGATTTTAACTGAACAATTAAATGTATAGTTTCTACATTATTTCCCAAACTGTGCAGTCTTTTATAAAGCTTTGATTCAACAAATGGGTAATACTGGTTAGAGCTGAGGTAAATTAGTATCTGACATATTTTGAAACCAGATATAGGATAAGACATTTGATATCAATAAACTTTGATGATGATGAAACGTCCAAACTTTTAGATTTTATAGTAGTTTTAAATAAATTTATCTTATTTGATATGTGCCATTTAGAAGTTATGAGGACTTACCTGTTACCTAGAGATGTTGATGTTTAGAGAAGTGAAGTGATGCTGCTTTTATAAACAGTCTGCAAGACGTGTAAATGAGGAAGGGCACATGTGTAGCACAAAGTAGAAATAATACTTTTAGCACCTTTCATCACAAGGCAATTCAAAGTGCTTTACAAACATTGAAATACGTTAAGAGCATTAAAACATAATGCAGCGGAAACACTTTATAAAATGGCATTTAAAAATATAATAGATAATAATAATAATAATAGAAGTTACAGTTCAGTGTTAGATGTCAATGGTTACATTTAAAAGCAGCGGCAAAAAGAAAAGTCTTCAGCCTGGATTTAAAAGTAGTCAGAGTTGCAGCGGACCTGCAGGTTTCTGGTTTGTTCCAGATATTTGGAGCATGTAACTGAAAGCTGCTTCTCCATGTTTAGTTCTGACTCTGGGGACAGAAAGCTGACCCGTCCCTGAACACTTGAGAGTTCTGGATGGTTCATAATGTATCAGTAGATCATAAATGTATTTTGGGCCTAAACCATTCAAAGCTTTATAAACCAGCAGCAGTATTTTGTAATCAATTATTTGAAAGACAGGAAGCCAGTGTAAAGATTTCAAAACAGGAGTGATGTGATCCACTTTCTTAGTGTTAGAGAGGACTCGAACAGCGGCGTTCTGAATCAGCTGCAGCTTACTAATATATTTTTTAGTGAGACCTCTAAAGACACCATTGCAGTAGTCCAGTCTACTGAAGATAAAAGCATGGACAAGTTTGACCAACTCCTGCTGTGACATTAGTCTTTTAATCCTAAAAATAATCTTTAGGTGATAGTAGGCTGATTTAGTAATTGTTTTAATGTGACTGTTGAAACTCAGGTCAGAGTCCATGACTACACCTAGATTTCTGGCTTTATCTGTTGTTTTGAACATTGCAGACTGAAGCTCAGCGCTGTATTTAATTTGTTCCTCCTTGGCTACAAAAACAATTAGTTTTATCTTTGTTTAATTGAAGAAAGTTCTTCTGACACATCCAGTCATTGATTTGTTCAATGCACTTACTCAGTGTTTGAATTGGAGCATAGTCGGGGTGCATCCTGAACATTGTTTAGGGAAATTTATTGATTATAAAAGACATAATCCCTTATTTCACCTATGGGAAGCAGACACATATTCACACATGCCTTTTTATAATTTGTATTAATCATTTAATTTAGGCCACATCCTATTTCGATTCTTGTCTCATATTAAATCTCAAGAAAAGTATCGCAATTCTTATGAGTCTCCCATGACAAACTTCAGGCTACTCTGCTTCTCCCTGGACCATTTTTTATCATAGAGTCAAGAAAAGTTCTTACACGCTTTTGGATTCAACATTTATGTCAGGCTCTGTTTAGGTCATGAATATTCCTGGAACTATGGTCTGATCATAAATATATATCCAGGTCAGTTTAACCACAGGAATCCCTGTCTGTACTGTACCTTAAAATGCCACAGCTAATGTTCATCACAGCTTCATATACAGATCAGGAAATGATAACCTTTACCCCTGAGTGTGCGGCAGCTGCGGTATAGACATTGCCCCGCTGTTACTGCTCCACCACCACTTATCATAATTGAAAATAAGATCTAAAAAAATCAGGGAAATGGTAAGTGATTTTATGTATAGGCAGTATTTTAGTATAGTAGTATACAATCTTGATTCTTACAGGATTTATTTTTCGCCGACCTAATTTCCAACAGTGCTACTAAGCAAGTAGTAACCTAAACCCAACACAAGATGGCAGCGTGTTCATTTGTTGTAGCTGAGCAGGAGAAGGTTTATTTCTTGCTGAGGCAGATGACAGTGTTTCTCTTCTTCCCTCTGTGGTAGCTGTAACCCCCCAAAGTAACATCTGTTGAGGTCACTTTTCAAGGGATTCCAAATAATATTCTAATTAAAGAAGCTGAATACAAGTGTGATTTAATACATCAATATAAAACATGTAAAGAAAACGGGAGAAATGTTGTGATGGTTGAGTCAAGCTGCAGCAGATAAAAAGATAATAAGTATGTCAATTGAGTCAAAGAAGGCTCAAAGCCGAACATCAGGCTAAGTCTTACTGTTAGTTGACTCATGGTGGATGCCTTGAAAGCAGCTGCTGCTTAGATGGAGACCTTTTACAAACACTTGCTACATAACATGTCTCCCTCCGGTCAGATTTGTAGAAGACTCCAGCAACTCTAAAATATTTTTCTTGAGCTCCTTGGCTTTCTCCGCGTTCTCTCTTGTCTCCACCTGCTCTTCTGCCACCTGGAGCCCTCTCAGCACAGACTGCAGGGCGTCTGCATTCTTCACTGAATCCATCTGATCTCTGTCTTCCCGGATCTCCTCCACCCAGTCCAGGTACGCCTGAAGTAATCCCAGGTCATCCACAAAATGTGCAATAATCCGGAGTCCAGGTCGACATTTCTCCAGCTCCCTCAGCCTCGCCCTCCCCACCTCTCCGATGTCATTCCCAACAATGCTGATGGAGGAGAAAATAAGCAGGTAAGAGATTACTTTGTATTACCTTTCAAAGCATATACTCACACTAGAGGGCAGTGTTTCCATGCATTATAACAATGAGACCACGGAGCAGAAGTTTCAATCTTACGTCAGTGTCTTCAGAGCCTTGTTTTTGCTGAGGCAGTGGACAATGTTTTCTGTTCCTCGTTCTGTGATGCCGGTGATGTCTAGATAAAGTTCCTCCACAGTGGTGTTGTGCTCAAGAGCGTTCCACAGCTCCAAAACCCCGTCTGGTCCCAGGTTATTGCCACACATACTGTGGACATGCATAGAGGAATTGTTATGCAATTAAATACCTAAAGTGTAGTGTTTAATATCAAGGGCTTTGTGCCAGGGCCAGGCTATCAGCAGCAAACGTCTTATTCAGTCCCTCAAAACAAAGGCCTTAGAATGTATGAGGATCTTGAAATACAATCTGCTGAAGACAGTTAGCTAGAGTTGTTTATATTATTTTGTAATTCGTTATAACCTTATTCAAAGTTTTATTATGATAGCCCTGAAATATACTCTGTAATGACTTACAAGAGTTTCTTCACTTGGCACTCATCCGACTTCAGAACTGCAGATTCCAAAATAGCAGCTTGCCTATCCAGGCAGTTGTATCTCAAACTGAAAAATATAGAAAAAAACAAGTTAACATTGATTTTGGCATACCATTCCTCTCTTAAAAAAGAGTGGAGCTGACCTTAATCACAGGATGCATTATATATAAATGAAGAGGGTGTACACCTAGGTTGGCAGTCACTCCACACAGAAAAGCATTGGCCAGCCAGGAAATTCAAACTCAGACTTGTTTTTATTGTCCAGTAGTAATATTGCAATGTATCATCTATCTGAAAGGTTAATGTAGAGTCAGTTACTCACTAGAGAGATTCACAGCGATGTAGGATTGGCCATAGTCTTTTGAGGCCTCTGTTTCCAATGTTGGAGTAGCCCAAGTTGAGCTCTTGGAGTTTGTGTGGAGAGAACTGCAGCACGTAATGCATGGCTGCACAGTCCACTACACTCAGCTTCATTTTAAACAGGTACAGTTTCTTAATCGCTGGTGCTGCCAGGCTGGTGGCTTCCTTCAAGTGGAACTCCATCAGGCAGTGGAGAAGATTTAGGGATGCCTGGTTCTTTAGCTCCCCGTGCTTAAATTGCTCTTGGAACCACAAACCCAGCCTGGTGGGGATGCCATCCCCTTGCTCCATTGGGGAAACTTCAAGGCCATCCAACTGACCTGCCAGCCGAGCTCGGAGCATCCCGAAGAAGAAGCGTGTGAACATCTGGAGACTCTCCAGCTGGTCCATGTTGATGTCTGTGTTTTTCAGGAGTGCAGCTGTGGAGGATGGAGGGCGTAGCCCGAAGCACCACAAGTCAAGAGCTTGGATTATGTCCTCCTGGCTGAAGAGGTTGACGGCACAGTAGAGTGAAGCCAGATGCTCTTGAACGGTCAAGTGAAAGAAAGAAAACATCTCCACTGTTTCCTCTTCGACAGGCTGGAGGATTTGACAGAGAAAGGTGCTCTGAAGATCGCCAGGTCTAACATCATACTTCTCCAAATCTGCTCTGCTGAACATGATCTTCTTCTGAAGAAGGTTTTCATAGGCCAGTTTTCCTAACTTTGTCAGTTGTTGCTTTGCAAGGGAGAGAACCTCCGATCTTGGGGTGCTTCTCTCTGCACTACCCCTTAGTGCATGGTGCTTGATTGCTGTAAACAGGTAGCAGAAGTAAACCTCGCTGACCGTTCTGGGCGGGTTTAGATCCAGAGACTTTGAGTCACCCACATCTGGATTTTCTGAAGAGAAGAACTCAGCCATAGCGGTACAGATGATGTAGCAATAAAGAGGAATGAAGGACAGCACGAAAAGGCTGTCATTGTTCAAGATATAATCATAGACCTTTTCAGCAACTTTTCCGTCTTTGTAGAACTTGGTGGTATATTCTTTTACCTGGTCCTCCTCGAAGCCCAGCACCACACAACATCTTTGGAAGTAGCGCTTGGGGGCCTCAGTAGACGGTCTTGTTGTGAGAATGACTGATGCCTCTGGGAGAAGGCTTCCCTTGATTAAAGCCACCATCAGCTCTGACACTGGCACCTTTGAGCGAAAGTCAATGTTTTTGTCAGGACTGTTCCAGTCCAAGGTGAATTTGAACTCATCTAATCCATCCAAGATGAAGAGCAAAGAGCTTGGTGAAGTGAAGAGATCAGGTAGTGCTTCCTTTAGGTACCGGAACCGTTCTCCAAGCAGCTCAAATAAGCTCAGTGGAGCTTCAATCAGATTGAGCTCTCTGAAGCGTAGGTCAAAAATGCAGGTGAATTCACGCATGTTCTTCCCGATCGCCCACTCATAGACGAGTCTCTGTACTGCTACGCTCTTTCCGATTCCAGCAATACCCTTCACTTTAACCCTTTTAGGGGGCCGTCCTGATGTTCCTTGGGGGTCCAATAAATGGCATGGTCGTATACGCTGGCAAGCCTGATGAACATAGATGCGAGCCCGTCTGCTCGCTAGGTCAAAGTACTCATGTGTGCTGCTGTCTACAAAGTCATCATCTTCTGTCACGAAAAGGTCAGTGTAGCGGATCTCGATGTGAGAAGCTGAGTTTGAAGCCACTCCCTCTCCCTCTGAGTAACACTTCAACTGCGCTGTGCGTTTCAGCAGGGTTGTTTTATGCGCAGAAATAGGAACTGCAATGGAAGACAGAAAGATGAAATGCATTGCCAACAAACTTCAATTATTATTTTTATATTTGATAAATACTTTTGACTTATTTTCAATGCACCTAAGATTACATACCTCGGAGGTTGGCCAGCTTTAAACTCCTGCTAGGTTCCAGTTGTTCTTTTGCTGCACATAAAGATCATTTCACTTAAATGCTTTTTCAAATAACAGACAACTACAAAGAAAGTTGTAGAAATGATACATTATACCTTTTGCTTCAGTAGTCAGGGTAAATCCTTTGCTCTTTCCTTTGAACAGTTTAGAAAAACCTTTAGGCTTCTTTTCTGTGGATTAAAGGATGCATGTGCTAAAATATTTGAATATTGTATGATATTGCACAGTGTAATTTCAAGATGGTTTGAATATCATGCATTTATTTATAATGTCAGATTCACAGGAGAAGGTGTTCCCTGAGCATTTTTTCACTACAAATGATCTTATATGAAATACATTACTAGGAGTCTACAGACATGCTACCAACTCCGGCTGTAAGTGCTTTGAGATAAATACTGCAATGCTTACAAAGGAAATGCCAACTTGCTTTTGTTTAGCATGGGATATTATAAATTGTTGAGATATTTACAAGTCTGGACAAAAGTGATATGCTGACTGGCAGGCATTGCCATTCTTAGAGCCACAATGGTATCACAATGGCATAACATTGAACTTATGATAGCTGAGTTACATTCTTGTTGTGCATTTACACCCTCCTTAATTGCCAAAGTCAGCAGAAATGACTTGGCAAGACATCACCGATTATTGCACTGTGTTAATTATCTTCTCAACCTCTGCATGGCACTCATGCAGTAAAACCTTATTGTCTTTAGTTCCAGTTTGTCACTTTTCTTCTCACTTTAAATGCACCTTAAATAAACAATCCTCTAGTATATTAAAACAACCTCACCTTCAACTTTCAAAGGTTCAGGCGCTGGCTTACTGACACCTTCCCTGCAGTGTCTCTCCACCCAGAGCTGGAGATCTCTGCAGTAATAGTCCTGCACCTCCCTCAGCACCTGCAGGAACCTTTGGCTGCTCTCCTCAGTGGCACACACCATCTCCATGGCCTGGGCCACAGCATTGGATGGGGACCTCTCCAGCAGGGACAGGTAGTGAGCAGGAGAAAGCACCTCAGCATCACGCAGCCAACGCAGCAAGGGAGCAGGGTGATCCAGAGTCAAGCTCAGCAGCAAGTCCCTCTGAGACCGGAGCAGGTGCTGAGCTGAGTTCATGGCTTTGGAATATACTGTCATGAGGAATACAATAAATACACGGTCAATACACAATATATACAATAAGAGAAATATGTCTTACTTAACAATTACACTCAGTAAACTATTATAAAAACTCAATATGCAAAATACATTACCATGCTTATTCATTTGAAATTCTTACCTTAAAGAAATATGTTATTGTTCTCTGTCACCTTTCCTCTCGTCTAGTTGTGCCATTGCACTTTTGTGTTGGCAGTGCTGATAGTGTTCTGCCTTAAGGTGCAGGGAGGAGGAGTGCATTGACTTACTGCAGGCAGCAATTCAAAGTATAATTCAAAGAGTCCATAGTTCAAAGTGTTCATTCTTTGTCCCTGCCTCTGATTCATCGCCTATGTTTGATCTTGCAGAAACATGCCAATCAAGTGACTTGGTATTATTGCCATTATGAAGCAAAATATCAAACTATTATGCATTTCAAATGAAATAAAACGTACTATACAGTAAGTTGTGTGTATATATAGCAGTATTATATTTGCATGTATTTGTGTTTAAATTAACAGATTGACCAGCAGTCTAAACAGTATCTGCTAAAATGCAAAAGTTTTATCTTGACACTTTTTACTTTTCCCTTCTTACACAACTGCTCTGACCTACTTATAATGACGGATCTTTATTGTTGACAGAACAGATAAAAATCAGTGTTAGGCAGAAAAGTTAATCATTAATTTGTTTTGTTCAAATTTCTATGGAGTTTTACCAATATCACTTTTCTAACACTGTTAGAGGTTTGGTTGGGACAGTGTGCGTAGACAGAGGGAATCAGAATTGAACACATTTAGTGTTTGGAGTCTTTGAGGAAATGGCCAGCAGCATGAGAGTGACTCACCCTTTGTCATGTGTTGTCTCATAGATACTTGCTGAGGTCTTTCTTTCCGAACCATTCCTCATCACTTGAAAGAGTATTTGAATATGCTTACATGTTAAAATATACGTGCGCAAGTTGTTAACCAATGCTAAATTAAAAATGATCCTCAGTGGTCAGTTATAAATCTATGTATTACGCATAGCTGATATAAAAGATATTGGAAGAGTAAGAGGATGTATTAAAGTGAAGTCAGGAGCACAATGTAACACTTCCCCCTCTTTGCTCCTTTGTTCATCCTTTCCTCTGTCTGTGCTGGCAGAGCAGGGTTGCAGTCATGCACGTTGACACTGTCTTCCTTCTGTGTCCTCTCATTTTTGGTGAGTAATTAATATTTAAATTAACTAACTTCAGATATCTGTATAAATTGCAAAGTTATTCTTTATCAAGTCATGTTATCCTAAATTAATTATCCCAATATCTCTTTTATTACCATAATTATTACTGTAGAGATGGAGATATTGGTATTTTTTGTCTCCTGCAGGACATACCGTAGTCAATTAATCCTGTTTCTTTAATAATTACAAGCTCATTTATTATCTTCATATAAACTGGAAACACTTTTTAATTCTTAATTTCGGTTTTGAATATATGTACATGCCCTTATCTAATAGTGGTTTACTTTTTGTCTATCTTCACTTTTGCTGTAACAATGTGAATTTGCCCTAGGTAAGACGAATAAAGGTATTCTGAGGAAATCTGATTCTGATTATTATCTGTTAATAACAGTTTAAAAATATATGCAAATAATCCCTAAACCAATGAGGATAAATTCACAATATGAATGTACAAAACAGTTTAATAGTAGATTTTCCAGAGCAAAAACTGCTGCTGTGTTGGGGATAGGGATTCTTCCCGTTTCTAAAAATACAACAGTTGCAAAACTGTCCTGGGTCATGTTATGCAGACAGTGCAGCTAAATACAGCAGCTTTAACCTTTGATTGTCTATAGAAATGTGTTCAGTATTATGAGCTTTCTTTAAGATATAAAGGCTTGGAACACTCATGCTTTAATTGGCCATGTCCCCTGCAAATGGTCTCTTGCTTAATTCTGCTCAAAGTTTAAACAAACATGAACACATAATACATGAACAGTTATGAGGCAACTAATGGCAGGATGGCTTGATATAAACCTGCTGTCTACTGTGATTTGAACCTGATCCTATACTGTAGAGTAGACCTTGGCCTAGTAACATGTGATCCTGGGATATTGGTAATTATTTCCAGTTCTTTATCCCAGCAGCAGCAGCCTTGTGGAGGAGGGTCCAGGCTGTGTCCCCTGTGCCCTCAGTCCCTGCACATGTCCAAGCACTGGTGGGCTCCTGTGTGGTGGTCCCCTGCACTTTCACCCCTCAAACTCCTTACCCTCTCAGGGGGAGGAAGAGGGTGGACGTTCGGATTATGTTCAGAGGTGGTGGACACATCTTTCCACTCCGCAGCACAGCTTTTAACAGCGAGGACAGAGATCAAGTGAGTCGGGATTTCCAAGGCCGGGCGTCTCTCTTTGGGCGATTTGCAGATGGAGACTGCTCAGTGAAGATCGAAAGGATCAGCCGGGACGACTCCCGGGAGTTTGAGATGGCTCTGAAGAGAGGGGACGAGTTACTTTGGGGGAAGCCAAGGAGCTTCAGTCTGGATGTTGTGGGTGAGTTGCTATATTCTCTCTTTCTTCTCTCATAAAATACGTTGTTGCTTTGGAACTTTGACAACAAGATAATGTAGGCTTTTCAAAGCTTCAGAATTTGGAAAGATAAAAGTGTGGGAGTAGAAATGCGGTATAAAGTAAAAAGAAAATTACCTGACATAAATGTAATAAAAAAAAAAAATATCCAAACAAATACATATCTAACATGAGCAGTATAGAACAAAGTTATTTTCTACAAGGAAAAAAAATAATTTGGAATCATCCACCCTAAATACACAACCACTTTTGGAATGATTGATTGAATAGCTTTGTAATGGACATTTAGACCAATAATCCAAAATACTCGTCTGTGCTCTTTTAGAACTTTTGTTTTCATGACACAGTAGTAAAAGCAAAGTGTTGATGGAGTTATTCCTCAATGACAGACACCCCTGAGGCTCCTGTCATCAGCGGCATGTTGTCAGCCACAGAGGGGCAGCTGGTCACGCTGAACTGCTCCGTCAGATACTCCTGTCCCTCCAGACCCCCGACCCTTCGCTGGAGCTGGGAGAGAGGAAACTGGCCCAACGGCACTGAGCCCGCGGGGGTGCAGACGCTCCACCCCGAGCCCCACAGGCCGATGTTACTCTCCACTCTGTCTTTCACTGCGTCACACAAGGTGAAACCCAGGCTGAGATGTGAAGCCAGCTACCCAGGAGCCAGAGCATTATCCATGTCAAAGGATCTGCATGTGACCTGTAAGGATGGCTTTGACTACTATCTTTGTGTTTCCTGGCTTGTTTGACACTGACACCTTTTCTTTCTTTTTTTTATTGTCTTTAGTTTCACCCAAAGATGTAGTAATTCAGATCCAGACCTTGGTGGTGCAGGAGGGGGGCAACGCCTTCTTGGTCTGCTCGTGTAAAGCCGACCCTCCGGTGTCAGAGTACCGCTGGTCCTACAGTCAGCACGGCCGCACGGTGCACCTCCACCATCGCACACACACAATCCGGGTGTTCAACGTGACCCGGGACATGAGGGTCCGCTGCTTAGTTCAAAACCAGATTGGTCGAGGAGAGTCCAAGCCCACGCCGCTGAACATACAATGTAATACTTTCTTCTAATTTCTTGTTCCCCTCCCTCTGATGGTCATACAGTACACACATGTGGAATATTTGACAACAAGCCTCACCTACATGTGTTTGGTTTTTGCTGCTGACAGAGTAACATAAGCAACATAACACAAGTTTCACCGCCCTTTTGTGTTGAAAGTTGGTTTGAAATACTGTGGGGGGGTCAGGGTTTTTTTCTGTTGCACACCCTACAGTGATGTAAAAGTGTGCAGATCACAACCTGGAGTACACTTTAACATCACTGCAGCAAGGTGAAGATAAATCAATAGAGGTCGGCAAAAAACATGATTTTTTGTTGGCTCTGTTTCCATTTTTCTTTAAAGATTTCGAAGGGCTTTTAAGAAAATGTTTCCTAGTTCCCTTTTTTTATTGGAATGTAGCCAAATGCCACTATGTAAATGTTAACGTCACTTCAATGTCTGTATGGTTAATACGAAGCTACTACCAACAGTCAAGGACTCGAGGAAGTTATGTGCATAAACATTGTACAATGGTAAATCGTTGTTTTTACACTGTGGTATGTTTCCAGATTAAACAAACAACATATAACATCTAAATTAGTGAGCTTTAAAAGTGTATAGAGGTAATTTCATTTAATTTGGACCGAGCCAGACAAGCTGTTTCTCTGTTTCCAGTGTTTGTACTCAACTAAGCTAGCAGCTTACTGGCTCTGCAATAAAGCCAATAAGCATATTTTCAAAAATGTGTTATCCTTTATTGTTAAAAAAGAAGAAGAGATTAAAAAGTTCCTCCCACACAAACAATACTTGAAAGGCTATCAGCGAAGTTGAAATGTCCTCTTTCTATCCTACAGATAAACCAGTGATCCTCCGGCTCTCCTCCACCTGTGTTTTGGAGGATCAGGAGGTGCTGTGTCACTGTTCAGTCGACTCCAAACCCAAACCGGCCATCACCTGGAGCGTGAATGGTACTGTTCCCCCTCGTGATTACAATGGGTCCGTAACATCTGAGCCTGGCGCGCTTACAGCCACTCTGAGGGGCCACATGGACAAACCTCTGACTGTCATCTGCTTTGCTTTCAACGCACTGGGAAATGACTCCCTGTTGGTGCTGCAGGGAGAAGAAGGTGTGTTAAACGTTTTTAACTCTATCAAAGTCTCGAGCTCTGCCTCTTGTTTATTCACTCTGATATAGGGATGGAACTGAGACATCTGTGCAACATGCCTGCAGCTTGGAAACATAAGATCATTTGCTGAAGAATGCTGCAAAGATAACCTTGAGCTGTACTTTTTTGTAATTACTATGAGTACAGCTTTTCAGTTGTGGCAGTTTAATATGTAGGCTATATCTTTTTTACATAAAAAAAAAAAGCGAGCTCTTATAATGGAATATCGAAGTGAAGCTGTTACATTAAGCTCGAGGGTCAAGCAGTATTTCTGAAATGCCAAGAGTGGAACTATAATCCATGTAGTTAACCACCTGAGTTTCACATCATATGCTGATCTCTCGCTGCTTGTTTTGTCTTAAAACAGAGACAACCTTTTTGATGTGGCTGGTGATACCTGCTGTGTCCATCTGCCTGGTCTTATTCCTTCTGTCTCTTTCTTTCTACTGCTGCCGAAAGAGATCTGAAAAGTATGTGAAGCAAATCAGCCCTAAAGAATGTTCCTCTAAAATGTTCTCACTTGCTTATTGTGAGTATTCACCTGTGCCGCTCCTTTCAGACATGTTCTGAAAAGACTCCCAGCTGTGTACCCTGAAGGAATGGGGATTTATCAGGATCAGATGCCCCTCTACATTAACTGTACGGAAGTGACTCATATCTACACCAACGGCAGCTACCAACTTGTATACCAAAACTGCACACCTAATTTTGTCCATACGAAGCAGGTAGGTACCGTCCTTTTCAACAGAAGGCATTGCATTAAAAGAAAACATTAAATCTACAAATTATATATTTCCTATATTTGATGGAATAGCAACATTTGTGCTTTTTTTTCAGATCCATCCAATAGGCAGGAGAGGTGGGGAGAGAAGACGAATAGGAGAGGGTGGAGGCATCGACAGACGAGAAGGTTTAGGAGTCAGAGGCACAAGGGAGGTGCAGAGTAATGTGGCCGATGGAGAGACGGCCATTTACTTGGAGATCATTTAAACTCACTGTGGATAAGTCACAGGATCAACCTGATACATTGAACTCATTACACTTATTTTTTCTTACACTGATGGTAATGCATTGTTTATGTATATTTCAGTTATTGTAAATATCGTACATCCATACATACATTTTACGATATCTTCAATGTTAGTCTCTCGTAATCTCCAAATTGAACAAATGAAGTGTCTTCAGTCTTTGTCTGTAACCTGCGTCTGTGCTATTTTTTTTATAAACGAAGAAAAGTTTTTATTTTAAATTACAGGCCCTCATATTTGATTTGGTCTTACCGTTCTACTGCTCTAATTATTCACAACAGTTGCCGCATGTCTAACACAAAGTGTTCCTCAGGTGATATTTTGGAGTTCCTCTAGAGGGAGAAAGACCGATGAAGCTCAACCTGTAATGCAGTTTCCAACATTTATTACATTAATGAGAAAGTGTTTCCTAGTGCTCATGAGAGAATATGCCTCACCAAAAGCAGACATGTCATTACAGGAAAAGCCCAGGAGTAATTTATAACAAGAACAATGGCTCTGTTCTATTAAGTTTCTCAGTAGGGGTTGCCAGTGTGAAGAAAGCTCTACAGCAGCGGTACCAACCTTTTTCAACTCAGTGCCCACTTAAGAATACAAATGTCGTGACCCACATTCAACCATAAACAATACGGAGGCTAAATAAAGTTCTAATTAGTCAATTCAGAACATGTGACACGTTGTAAATCCAGTAGAACAGACCACTGTCAAGGACTGTGATGACCGTTGCTAAGGAGGATCAAGAAAGAGAAAGGAAAAGAGGTTCAAATAAAAATAAAAACGTAATAATGAAAATGTTTCCACACAAATCATAATGTTTTGCAAATTATTTGGCGCATATATTGAATTTAGATTTACAACCTTTAATATTGTATTTGCGATTTTAGATGAAGACCGCACACAGTTAATAAATACAACTATTTTCTGGCTAAAATACATGTTTTTAAATGTCAATCAAGCAGTAATCTTAATTTAAGGTGTTTGAAGAGTAGATTCAAAATACAATTTATTTTGGAAATAATTATTGCCACAAAAAATCAAAGGGTGGCTCAACACGCAATTAAATGGGAAATAATTAGCTCTAACGAAGAGTGGGATTAAAGGAACAATACATTTGCTTGCCATGTTGTTTTTTTGGTGGTATTTGATTGTCAACCTTTTTTGTTTGTGAAATGTTGAAGTGGTCCACTGACTGTATCTTTATTTCTTCTGTTTTTGTTGTTGAGGGATGGGAATGTCATATTCTATATGTTATTGTTATGTCCATGTTGTGTCTTAAGCATCTAAAAAAAGAAAAATTAAATGAATTTTTTTAAATTATTTACAATGCCTTCGCGGACCACTAGGGGGCCGCGGCCCACAGGTTGGGAACCGCTGCTCTACAGGACATGATACTGTAAAAGCTAAATGGAAATCAGCCTTTTTTTATGAGCAACCATCTATCACATCGTTCACACACAATGGTAAAAGCATTTGTTGTTAGAACAGTCGTAAAATGCATAAAAAATACATAATCAATACATAAACTGTTGTAGTTTAAGGTTCACATCTAACTTACATATAGGATTTAACTTTTTATAGATTTCTAAATGCTCTGTTTTCTAGGGAATTTCCATCATGTTTGCGTAAAAGGTTTCCATACTTTACTTACATGAGAGGAGATGAAAAAGTATGTTGCTTACAAGAACACTTAAAGACTGGAAACGAACAGGAGTCATTGTTTAATGTTTTTTATTCTATTTTCTTATAATACATCTTAAAATGTACGTAATGTAATGTAATGTAAATACGTCTTTAAATGTGTAGGTACAGTATTTTAATATATTTAGTCTTAAAAGACTGCGGTACAGCTCCTGAACGATTGGTGGCGATATAAATATGTCGGTGCTGCTATTTACCTGCAGAAGAAGAATCGAAAGCGCTGATTGGATGAAAATGCTGTTGTAGAGAATTGCGTCACAGGACGACACACGCCAGGCTTTTGGTGGGAATATGAGTTCGCTTCCACGTATATATATCTCAAATTAAATCCATCCATATATGTTTTGTAATGTTGGATGCAATACCAACATGACTGGCTATGTGTCAAGTACATAACCGATTCAGAATTTGTGCGTAACATCATTTTATGTTTGATAAAACCACCAGGCTAATCAGGGAAAGTTCACTCCGCCTATTGTTTGCTAGCATGCTATCACGTTAGCCAACAATATATCTGACTTAAAACAAAGTCAATTTACTTTAATTTCCGAGGCTACATTTACAGCAGCTTAAATGACATCTTGTGCTTTATGTTTTCTTAATTGGCTAACATAGCGTTTAGTGGTTACGCAGCGCTCAGTTGGTTTATTTAACATCACATTAGCTAATTCAACCTGTCAAGAATCAACAACATGCCAGAAATCCAACTCAAACACGTCGTGTCTTGCAGCACCGAGGACACTGTAAGTTCATTATATCACTTGCATTGAATGTTTACAATATTCCTTACACCAATATTTGTAGATGTATTGTTTTATTTAGGCAAAAGAGAGCCGTCCTATTACCATTCATCATAACCCTTTGTACGTGGCATATTCTTCTTATATTTTTTAATTGGTACTGTATTTTATATACCTAATGTGAACTTTTAAACTTCCATTGGACTTTTTTGTGCACCTCCCCTCCTGTTTTAATTAAAATATGTTGTGATTTGCTTCTATATTGATGTAGTTCTTTTTGCAATATTTGTCTATTTTAATGTTATACACCAAAAACCAAATTCCTTGTATGTGAACACCTACTTCAATTAACCAGATTCTGCTGATTCTAATGTAAAACAGGCACACAAGGCAGACAACCTGCTGAGCTCTGACACCTACAGAAAGTGGAAAGCAGCAAGATCTGGGGAGAAGCAGACATCAGTCATTCTGCAGGTATGTTTTTTAACACGTGTTTTCCCAAAGGCATGTTGTTATTTTTCATTGCTGATGTGAAATGTACCTAGGCTCTAGAAACCTGCTGATCCAGCATATTTGATCCAAATCAAACACTGGCGCATCAACCTAAATTGCTGAGTTTTACGTTTGTTATGAGAACTCCGCCAAATTAGGGAGTGGGAAAGGAGCTTTTAGGTCATTTGCTACCTCAGACAGAAATATCCAACATAGATTTGTTTTTTACAGTAGATTTGTTTTTTACAGATGTTTCGCTACCTGAATTCTGCAAGACATAAAGTCAGTCTGTGGATGTTGTTTTTATCTTAAACTGATATTTTGGGTTCTTGGCTTGCTTCCTTTTTAAAAAGGCTTGTGATTATTTTATGCCGGATCATACTATATGTCCCTCATTGCCCTTCATTGGTTTAAAATCCACTAAAGAAACGGAAATATGTGGATCCTGACTTACCGTTTGTTATTGCTAAGTGTTGGGCATTCTTATTTTGTGTAAGTTCTGAAGATCTATTAATCAACAACAGTTGTATGCAATCATGTTGATACAACAACAAACATTCTAAGAATCAGCAAGATTGATACCAATTAAAACATTTGACTTCTCTCCTTTTATGATACATTTGGGTCCTTTAGGGATTCCCTTTGTCTGAATCTTCTTGCTGAGTTCACATAATTGGTTAGAGATTATGCAGAAGTTAATTGCGTCTTTCCAGCTTATTCAAATGCTACTACTGCACATTTTTTTATTATCTGGGAGACAAAAAACTATTGTGCTGCTCACCTTTATGCCCCTCCAGCTCCTGCCTGATGCTTTAAGAATAGCTTATACGGTTTTAAGATTTGATATGGTAGAGTTGTATTGATGTGTCAGGCAGAGTTTCCGTTAGAATTTTCTTTTGCCGGTCAACATGTTAAAGTTTAAATCTTCCGGACAAAATGAGAAAAGTGCCGGTCAAAGTTCTTCTTTGTTATTTATTGAGCTTTGAAACAAATTGATATGATTCAATATTAAACAAACTAA